ATAAACTGCAAAAAGAAAAATACAATATACTTATTGCGTTTTTTTTTGGAAGACAGATAATACACACGTATACACAGTTAGTTAGGCTCGAAATTTTTCTTTTCCCTTTCATTTTTAATGATCATTATGAATAATAATAAAAAAAACAACACTAACATAATCTTTCAGACAGATCAAATACAAAAAGAAAAAAAAAACAAGACACAGTTAATTTGATATAGGAGATGCTTCGGAGAGTGATGATGGTGATACTGCTTTAATTTCACCTGGTGATAAATTCGATCGTGGTGGTGAAGGTGATGCTTGATTATTTAAATTCGTATCAGATTTTGATGATTCCGTTGTTATTTCAGTAGAATCTGCTTTATTTTCAGTTGTTGTTGTTGTTGTAGTTGTATCAATATTTTCTTCATTTTTCGATTCATCATTATTTATCGTTAAAGATTTTTCACCTGAATTATCGTCATCATTGATTTCATCTTCAATATTTTCATCATTTGTAAGTGATTTTGATAAACTTTTTCCAATAGTTTCTTCGATTTTATAAAGTTTTTGAAGTTTTTTTTCAACATGTAATTGTATTAAATCAGCGTGTTCTTCTGAACAATGTCCATCTTCAACACATCTAAACAAAATTCATCATTATATATAAAAAATCAACTATTAATACAAGTAACGCTCGTCTAAGAACTCGCTTAGCTCTTTCTCGTAGAAATTCATCCTCTTCACATTTACTAGGAAAACAGATTTTCGATGTTTTTTTGACCTATGCACCCTCCTCCTTCATCATGATCACCCAACAGACCTCAGATTCGAAATACCTCTAGAAATGTTTTTTTGACCCTGCGGACATACAAGCATGCAATCAGACAATTTATGTTTACTGGACTCTTCTCTGCGAGAATAATACCTTGAAATTGTAATAAGAACAGGATGTGGTTTAATTGATTCTAAAATTTTAGTCATTGATTCAAGTAAATAAATAATCATTCCTTCTGATGAAACATGTAATGGTGGTCTTGTATCTGCTAGATGCATACCATAATTATGAATTAATTTCCAATCAAGTTTTTTATGACGAATTACAGAAATTAATGCAGATAAATAAATATTATCAACAAGTATTGGTTGATCTGGTTTTGGATCAGTTAAATATTCATTCATTAATGTACGTATTTGTTCTAAGGCACTTTCACGTGCTGTTATATATTGTACAATTTCAGGATCAGCTTGTTCTTGTACAATACGTGTATAAACATAACGAAGTATTTCATATTCATTTTCATCAAATTGTTTACGTATTGAATCATCAGTGGAAAAAAATGATAAATCAATATCCATTACAAATTGTTTATTCTCAAGTAATTCATTGATTAATGTTGCATCAAGTGAATGAACACGTTTTGTTGTCGATTGGGAATCTTTATGATTTGTATCATTTATTGATAGCTTCGGTTTTTTTCGATTATCACTATCTAAACTTTCACTTCCACTATCATTATTATAAATAGTTTCATCAGCAGCTTTTTCAATTGTTGTTGCATAATTTTTAGCTAAACCACTTGTTGAGACATAAAGATCAACAGTTTGAATATTAGAAAGTTTATCAATAGATGAATAAACACAATTGGAAGTAAAATATGGAATTGTTGAAGCAACTCTGAAAACAAAAAATTATACAAAATCTTTTTTTTCGTTTGAGCATACTTTAATACACCAGTTTGTTGACATTTTCCTATTTGTAATTGATATAAACCATCTTGAAATTGATGAGCCCAAGGTGGTTTAAACCAAAAAATTTTCTTTATCAATCCTCGATAAACAGCTGGAAGTATCCAACATTGATTATCAATTGCACTAAAAACATAAACAATAGTTTCGTAATTTTTTTGTTTTATCTATCACATACGGAATAAGATGATCTAAGGTTTCAATTTCATCAGCTTGAACATTTTTTGGTACAAGAAAATCAGCATATGTATCAAAACGAATTAAAGCAATATCTTCATCCGATTTTAAATTTTCTCCAATATCATTAATATATATTGGAAGTGCCTTAAAATATAAATTTATCTAATATAAAAATATGAAAAAGAATTAAACAATCTTACTTCATTATTATTTTCAACAATTTTAATCTTTAATTTATCTTTTATGATCACCATTACATGGTCTTATTGTCAAATCTTATCTAAAATATCTTCGAAATCTTTTATTTTTATTTTTTTCAAATGTAAAAAACATCATAATATACATATATACATAAATATTAACAAGAAAACGATAGTATTATATACAAAAGTCATTTAAAATCCATCACTTTCATTAATTAAAGCACGTTCAAGAATGACTCGTCCTTCTTTATAACGTTGAGTTTCTTCTGTTGCAAATTCATACATCCAACCAAGTTTAGTATCACATTTTTTACAGCTTATATCTCGCACAAAATGACGACCTGTTAACATCATCTAAAAGAATGAATTCATTTATTCGAATCGATCATAAAATAATTTTTATTTACTCGTTCTTGTACAGGACTTTGTTTTGTATTAACCACACGGCTAAATAAAAATGCTCGACCGGTTGCACCTGTAAATCGTGTTGAAACTAATTCATTACGATTTGTTAATGGTGTTTCACAATGTGCACAAGAAAATATACGTTGACCACCAAGATGTTCAAGAAAAACGCGACCCATAATAAAAAATTTTTTAATCGAAAATAATTTAACGATTTCTATAAAATTAAGAGTCCAAACCAAAAGAAAACATAAACGAAAAAAAATAAACAATCAATCAATCGATAACGGATTTTAGAATTAACTAATCATTTATTAGTTTTCTTAAGATGTCGCTATATAGCAAAAATATAAAGAATTATATTTTGTACTAAATTTGTGTATACGATTTATTATGAAATAGGATTATAGATTATGATTTTGTCAGTGGCGGACCTAGGATTTTAGAAGGGGAGGGGGGGGGGCGATTTTGGCTAAAAGCTATTTTTTGAGTCCAATCGAAGTAGTGTGAAGCTATTTTTTCGTTCATTTTTGCTGTGAAAAATCAAAAACAAATTCGGAAGGGGGGGGGGGGGCGACGGGGGTGATCGTCCTCCCTAAATCCGCCACTGGATTTTGTATATATAGAGCAGGAAAAAATTTGTTCGATCTTATTCATGTGTCTGGAGTATCGTAAGAATTATTCGTTCATCTTGCTTTTTTTATTTCATTAAATTGAACAAGCTAAAAAGGGAATAATAGATCAAAGTTTGTACGTTTAGGTTATAGGTATAAATAGTATCACACTCGAATATTTGTTTCGTTTTATGATTGGAAGAAAATAAAATACGAAAAAAGTACAGGTGAATGAATAAATTTTCGACCTACTATAAATATTTGGATATTTATTATATTTTTATAATTTACGTTATTTTCGAAGAGTGCAAAGTACTATTCTGTTTTTATCACCTGTGAAATTTTCTCACGACTTTATCATTTAAAAGCGCTTGATATCTAGATATCAATTGCTTCATTATTTTTGCTTAACTATGGCTACTATATCGCTTATCATTCTTGCAATATTCTTTACATTCGTTTCATCAAGCAATGAAAATAATATTGTAATTACTAATTCTGGTTCTACAAATACTGCTGGTTATGTAATTAACGTACAACCTAACGGACGTTGCAGTTGGAAAGTAACACCTCATGGTGCTCATCTACTTATGTCAACAACACCAAGTAGTACAACTACACAAACAAGTATTCAACTTTCATCAGCTCGTACAAAAAATATGTTTCAAATTGCTCAAGAAGCTCAACCATTTAATCAATATCCATCTACCAGCTGTATTAAAAGTGTTTCATTTGGTACAACACTTCACGTAGCCTAC